CTCGGGGGGAGAGGAGGAGGAGGAGGAGGAGGAGGAGGAGCAGGAGCAGGATAAGGAGGATAAGGAGGATAAGGAGGAGGAGGAGGAGGAGGCGGGTGAAGGAGGGAGAAGGAGAAGAGGATGAGGAGGAGGAGGAGGAGGAGAAGGAGGAAGAGGAAAAGGAGAGGATGGGGAAGAGGATGAGGATGAGGAAGAGGAGGAGGAGCAGGAGGAGGAGAAGGAGAAGGTGGAGGAGGATGATGGAGGATGCTGAAGGACAAGAGTGGAGGAGAGGAACGGAGGAGGAGGAGGAGGAGGAGGACACTTGTCCAACTGGTAGGGGGGAATGGGGAGGGCGGACATCCCAGCGACAGGCCCCTCCCAGCCTGGCGTTCGATAGTGGCAAAAGAGGGAGGGATGCAGGAAGGCGAGGAGGATGAGAACGAGGGGGGACAAGGCCTCCAGAAGCCTTCAGCGCCCCCCAAAAACCGGGCGGGGTGGGAGAGACACCAAAACAAGGGGCACCGAAGCTCCAACCTCCGAAGTGACTGAAACAATGCAAACGAAACTCTGATGTTGAAAAACAGAACTCCACCGGCCAGCTGGGCGTAGGTGGTCTGACGATACATCGTCTTTCCTCTCTTCGGGGAGGGGTACCATCCCGCTCCTCGGGGGGCGTCTTGTGTCAGGGAGTCCATTTTCGCAAAGAAAATTGTTCCAAGAGGCCCCCAACTGCTCCAAGATAGTCTCCAGGATTCGATAATGGTTCAAAATACCTTCTAACATGCTTCCTAGAGGACCCAAGAGAGCCACCAGACAGTTCCACCAAGTGCTCTCGAAGCCTTCCGCGGACCCTCCCAAGACGCCAATGTCTTTCAACAGCCGACAAAAAATCAATGGCTTGTGTCTTCTCGCCTTTTCGCTTCCGATGGGTTTTTGAGGCCTCAAGACGGCCCCTGTGTGACCCAACAGGGCCCCAAGAGGAGCCCGAGGCCCCCCCCCCCCCCCACGGCCCCAAGACCGCCCCAGAGCGCCCCAAGAGGGCCCCAAGAAGGCCACCCCCAAGGGGAGCTTGAGGGCTCTTGATGGGGGGACCTGAATCAAGGAGCCCCTCCTGCTTTGGATCGACGCCCTCCGAGATGGCCGCAAGAGGCCTTCAGGGCATCCAATCGGCCCCAAGAAAGCCCCAAGAAAGCCCCGACAGAGGAGTCCAAGACTCCTCAGCACAGCCCCAGGGCCCCAAGAGAGTAGCTGCTCCGCCTGCTCTCGAGTTTTCGTATAAGGGCTGTCTTCTGTCTGGGCATTGCGTCTGAATGGGCTTTACGGGGCAACTCCTGGGAGGTCGTCGTTGGAACGAGCAAGGGCGATTAAGCCCGATTCGAAGGCCACTTCGCCGGATCTGGGCCGACGATGCCGGGGACTGAGCCGGACGAAGCGGGAATGATCAGGAATAAAGCGGGCGCAAACCGGACTAAACCCGATTTGCTCAGAGTAAGCCGGTTAACGACTGCGGCAATCCCCGCGCCGATACAGAATTGAACATTCCAGGAGTTGCATCCCAGTGGCCTGGTGGGAATAGTTACGCGAATCGTCTGCAAGCACTAAAATAGCAACGACCTGCATAAGGTAGAAAATAAACATAACCTTTCGGACCTCAGCGCAGATTTCTTGAATCGGCGCTGGACCCCCTTCCCTGGCGCGCGGAGCGCGCCAGGGGCGGCGGCGCCAGGGGCGGCGGCGCCAGGGGCGGCGGCAGGGGGGCCCCAGCGCCGATCCGAGGAATCCGCGCGGACCTCCAAGGTGTTGTATGTCTTTGTTTGTTTCCCTAGCGAAGCGTCGACTCGCAAATTTCACCTACACTTAGGTCGAGCATGTCCTAATACAGGCGTTTTTCGAAGAAAAGTAAAAAATAGTCAAAACATGTTCAAACAAATCAAGAGAAGTACAACATCGTCCCAAGACTATGTTTTCACAATTTTTGAAAACGCCTCTTTAGAGCGACACGCCCGACCAAACCCCCTACCTTCCGAGGCTCGAAAGGGATCTCTTCGGTCGGTGCTGGCCCCCCTCCTGCGGCGCGCGGATCGCACCGCCCGAAGGGGGGCTGGTCAGTCTCCGACCCCAGGAGACTCGCACGGGCTACCGGGAGTGTACGTGCATGCCGCTCTGTGTGCTCCGAGGGCTCGCACCTCGGTGGTTCAAAGATGGGGTCCCGAGGGATGGGGTCCTGATGGGGACTGTGCGCCGCAAGACTTCTGAGTCCAATGATGCATGCATTTCCGTCGCCCAGGTGAATTCGTAGCTTTCTGCCCGCGTCCGCCTGCGGACCGATTCGATTCGACTGGGCCTTGCCTTGCCTTCCGGGGCTCGATAATGTCTTCTTTCGGTGCTGGCCACTGGAAGCGTATGTTCATGTCGTGCTGTGTGCTCCGAGGGCTCGCACACCTGTGGTTCAAACATGGGGTCCTGAGGGCTGGGGTCCTAAACAAAGTTAGGAGGCAACTGCTGCGAGGTCTTCGTCAGATGGATCAGGGAGGATTGGTCCACATTGGGGGGCTGCGACGCCGGATCAGGCCCGGGATTGAGCGGGGGCTGAGGCCGGACTCAACCAACCAGATTGAGCCAAATTGAGCGGGATAAAACCGGATGAAGCCGGGTTTCGGACCAGGGCAAATTCAGGCTTTGACCTCCCAAGAGTTGCATCCCAAGGATAGGAAGGGATCCAAGGGTTGACTTACATCGCTTGAGGAACCTCGTCCTCAGGACCCCATCCCTCAGGACCCCATCTTGAACCACCGAGCACCGACCCTCGAACCTACAATACCATGGAAATTAGTGAAACTCTCGCGCGTGGCCTGCCTCCCCGTACCCGTACTCTCGCAGGGGCGACGCACGATCTAATGATGTTTTGTCGTCGGCTGCGGCGTTCCTCAGCAGTAAGATCGCGGGTCCAGGGGGCACCGCCCTTCCCTGGACCTCTCTCCCGGGGTTCGATCAGACCAGCAGTAGGTCGGGCGTGTCCATCTACAGGCGGATTTTGGACGAACGCTAAAAAATAGTCAGAACATGCTCAAATCGAATCGAAAAAATATGAAACAATGGATCCCATACTATGTCTTGACTACTTTCGAGTATTCCTCCAATAAGGGGACACGCCCGATCTAAGACCAGCATGTCGAAGCGAATCCAGCCGTGGAGACGAGGGATGGGCAGCGGCAGAGGTACCTGCTCCTCCGCCGAGCGCCCCACTCCCATGGGATCCGGCGCTGCGGAACCAGAAGTGCAGCATCGTGAATAATCGCGACCAGGGCCCAACACTAAGGTCGGGCATGTCCACCTACAAGCGGATTTTGGAAATAGAGGGCGCAACAAATGATCAACAATCTTCAACAATTATCGAAAATCGTCCCCAGACTATTTTTTTACTATTTTTAACACTCCTCCTGTAGAGGGACATGCCCGACTGAACCCAATACCCAATATTTCTGCTGCGTGTTCCGAGCCAGCCCGATCCGTGAGGGTTCCAAGGCCCGAACCAAGGCAGAGTCGCCCAGTGTGAACAAAAATGCCACGCCAGCATCTCAGCAGGGCTCAACCTGAGCACTGTTTCCCCTTCTCGTTATGTGTTCGTTTTGCGTTGTTCTGTCTTCATTCCGCCTTGCCGTCGAAATCAAAAAGAAAACAGTCGTCAACATCGTCAAAACACCGTTTAGGTCGAGCCCTGGATCTCAGGGGCCCCCCTCCCCCTGCATAGGAGGAGGAGGAGGGGGAGGATCGGATAGGGTCGGCCATCCACGAAAACAAAAAATGCACGACCTGGACAGCCGGAGGGGTACAAGTCAAGTCAAAGCCGTGTGTCAGAAGGCACATGAGCAATATGGCACACTTACCGTGCCAAGCAAAATGACCGCACTGCGCGCTTCCAGTCTCGAACTGGGATTGCGCATAAATGTTCGATTGGAACTTGAAGACTGCCACAAACATCTCTTGCAAGTTTGTACACCTCGGCAGGCCACGTCTGTCGCGGTCGGCCTCTCTTCCGCTTGCCGGAGGGGGGGCGGAGGTCGAGGGAGGAAGGTCTAAAAATAGCTGAACGCAAGGGGTGGTCATCACCCTTACAAGCAATATGGAAAAAGTATGTGAGTTGCCGCTGCAAGAGAGTACTGCTAAGCTTCATCCTGCGCGCTCGTGCCAGCACGTCCGCATTAGACACTCGGCTGACGTACGAATGCGGATCCCGAGGATTCTCCGCAGGCACCTTGTTTGGAAGGCGTCGATGCGGGTCAGCTCGTCCTGCTTCAACCATGCCGTGTGCAAGCTGTACAGTAATTTCGTCTGCACGCACGCCTCGTATATCTGTATCTTTCTATGCATCGGGATGCTGCTGCGGTTCCAGACACGGTGTAAAAGTTCGAACTCTGCCCGCGCTTGCCCAAGGCGGCGGCCCAGCTCAGCCTGCATCGTCCCGTCTGCGGAAAGCACGGACCCGAGGTACACGACGCTTGCCTTCTGGGGAATGACAGCCCCGTCCGGCCTGCGAATAACAGCGTTGCATCCCACGGCCAAGATTTCGAGCTTCCCCCAATTGAAGGTGAGGCCGTAGTTCGCGCCCGCCTTCTCCACTGCCTTCATGTACTGCTCAGCGTGTCCGGATGCGCTCGCGACGATGAGCGTGTCGTCCGCGTACACCAACTCGTCCACCAGTCCTGCCAGGTCACCGAGGCTGTTCTTTGCGTCGTGCAGGAGCACCGTCATGACCATCCCGAAGAGGAAAGGCGATAACGGGCATCCCTGGCAAATGCCCGCTCCTTGTTCTCGCGACGCCGAAATCTGCCCGCACTCTTTCACCGCGAAGCTCCTGGCAGAATAGATGGCGCTCACGGCGGCCAGCACCTCCCGCGGCAGGCCAAACCGGCGCAGCGCTTCGAGGAGAGCATCTGGCATCACGCTGTCGAACGCCTTGGCCCAGTCCAGCGCGAGCAGCACCAGCGGGGACCCCTGCAACGCGCAGGATTCCTCCA